ATTCAAACAAAAACAAAAAAAAACTTTGAATATGCTCTTCTTTTTACGTTTGTAATAGGTTAGATTTAGAATTCCTAAATTGTGTATATATCAGACTTGCAAAGTTGATAATAAGGATAAAAAGGGTACATCCTGTATCAATGTACTAAATCATATCCTCTATCTGCGATTTGCTCGGGGATTGTATGTTTTTAATCTTTTTTGAATAATTTACGCGGGTATGTTAAGGAAGTATATACAGTGAAATAATTCAGTATCTCGAAGTTGAGGGGACCTGGACACAACTTCGAGATATCCAGGGGTTCGAGATATCCAAAGTTATCTTCCAAAGTCGAATCAATGATTTCCCGTTTTTTCTTACACATCTTCATGCATAATGCTATCCTGTGTTACCAAACATGTAGTCTTTACGGTAAAGACTCAAGCATATTCGCAATAAATATTAAGAAAAACATTGTTGGTGTTTTCTTTATCGTGTATATTTGTAAAACAACTTAATACGAGGGCGGTTCAAAAATTACGCGGACTGTGTTATTATTTACTCTTACAGATGAAATATAGTTATGAAATTTCACAGAAATATGTATCTTAAAGATTCCAATAAATTTTTGGCAAAATTTATGTATTTTTAAAAAAAATTATACGAAAATTATCGCTATGTTGATTTCGCTGATGAAGAGGTTCGGAGCACGTTAAAAAATTTGAAGCAAAAGCATGCGAAATCCAAAATTTAACTCATTATTTTTCAATAATTCGAGATATTTTTCGACAATTTTCTCAAATGTTTCTTTAATTTTTTCTATTATTATGTATTTAGATTTCTGACATGATATTTAAAGTACTAACAGAAATATAATAATTTTTCACCGATGCGATTCCATTGAAAATGACGTCGCCTGAATTGACGGCGCACCACACTTTTGATTGAATTGCGTGTGATGCTCGAGATATCGCCAACATAGATCCAAAATATGCATAATTAAACATGTAGTAAACCAGTATATTTTTGACATTAGTCCACAAATAGCAAAATGAAATTTTAGACCGTTAGACCTCTGTAAAGGGGCTTTACGGGAGGAAGGGAAGATGATTATGGACGAAAACTGTATCCGGACTGTAAAGAACGTGATTAAGAGTCACCGATATCATACTATATCTCATAAATACCTGCGTGTTTTGATTTTAAAACAAAAAAAGAATATTCTTTACTTGTTGAATAAATTTTAAGCTTGACAAGAAATGGTGTTTGGATATTGAGTAGATAAGGTAACTAAAACTGTTCAGGTACTCTTGGGAAAATGTTGAGAAAATAAAAGCTCAATTACACATTTTTATACTGTATGTGACGTCGAAGATTTTGCTGCTCCGTGACTTAATGATATGTCCTGATAAATCACTCAAAATCGATACCAATTTATAACATTTTGATATGAAATTTTGAAGACCATATAAGTAAAGATTCTTTTATATTATGTGAGACATTTTGCCCGATTATATCGTCAAATATTTTTTTCTGTGCAACAACGTCCGCGTAATCTTTGAACGGCCCTCGTATACATGCCTTATTGCATATACAGCGATTTTACATTTTCCAGGCCATGTTTACGTGGTCAAACGGGATGTATCATTAGACTTATAGTTGAAGAACCTCCTCCGTAAGAAAAGAATAAGACGAGTTTCTTAAAACTTTATTAGATGAAATTTAGTGCAAAGTTTTATTTAGAGCACTACAAAAATAATCAGTATTTAAACTGTGAACTTGAATACTATTAATTGCTTACATGTATTACATTACGAAGTACTACTAAGGAACATATAGTTTACGAAACTAACAATGCAAATGGCGGTCGAGGTTATCCATTTATATGCAGATAAACATGGAAGTAATCAATCACTGCACTGTGCATTACGTACTGCAGCTTAACTGTTTAAGTTTATATTGAAAAATCTTTTGTGTTTTATAAATTTACAGTTTTAATTATACAGAGCATATTATTCAATTAAATGCAATATCGGTAATACTGTCAGTATTTAATTTCTGAATTGTTGCAGGTGGTTTTATCGGTCGTATACTACACCAACACCCAAGCTGTCATACCAATTACCGTGTCACAGATACCCAACATGAGCTTGGGATTAATTAAGATTCCCCCTGTTTGAAAGAGTTAATTAATAGCCACTGGCGAGAATGTGTGAAGTCAGACGTCAGGTGTGTTCACTAGACCGAAAAATTCACTGCACTTCGAGATAAACCAGGTAAAAGTAGGGCTTGGGACTTTGAATATACCGTACTTCGACATAAGCGGGGTATTCGAGATTACCATGTTCGAGATATCAGGTGTTTTTTTTTAAATCATATATATAGAGAATACGGCGGGGACCGGCAGTCGACTTCGACATAAGCGGGGTATTCGAGATATCCCATGTTCGAGATACTGATATTTACCTGTAAGTCCTTTCTGGGGAAAAGACTCTTAAAAGAAAATTAAGTTTGATACTTTACCGAAACCGCTAATGAACGTAAGCTATATTTAATCATTGCATAAGGATAAAAGAGTTGTAGACGTGCACCACCACCACGGCATCACGTGGCTTCTTTTAATAGCGAAATTTTCCTTAATAAATAAGCTAACAGAACAACAATACCCCGGGGTTTAATGATTTCTTTCAGTAAATTATATAGCTGAAAAACATCTATTCTACTAGAATCCCACTGTCCTGTCAGTAAAATAATTATTCCACTCATTTGCACAAAACCTTACCCGAAGTTTTGAATTTTGAGATATTTAGTAAAACCGTCTTTAACTCGGGATTCTAGCAGTACTTTTCAAGTATTTTAGAAGGTAAACTTTACATCTGTACAAATCTTATGTTCTGATATATCCAGCTTATTGTTGTTCTATTGCATTATGTTTGTCACAAATTGCAGAGGAAAGGCCGACCGAGATACGTATATAGCTAAAATGTCTTCGAAAGAGAATATAATTGATGAAAATAAATAAGCATACCTGTTCAATTAACTGAACTCCATATGAATTTCACATGATATTCACGATATTTGCATTCAAACTCCATTTTACGTATCTTTTTACATGAAATCTAAGCAAAATTTTCTTTACATGACATGATCAATTCTCAAGTTACTTGATGTACACATATGACGTCATCGGAGGTGGATTTCAATTAAACTGACAAGTACAACATTACAAATTAAAAACAGTTATTTTTGTTAATTTTTGCAGGTCTTTATTCATTTTCTAGAACTAAATTTCATTTCTAACTACTAATATTACGAAAACTTGTGGTCTAAAATTATCTCGCTTACTATGACGTCATAATGTAGCACTGATTCAGTCGAGGTAGAATATTTTGTATGCTTCCTTATTACCCCTGCATTTGATGGATGTTATAAAAATATGTCCCTTTGAATATTGATAAGTCGAATTTCACATGAAAAAAAAATAAAGAATAATCATTCTAAACTGATCTCCAGTACATTATATATATCGTTAAATAACCATAAACTGCAAATGACTTTTAAGTACAAAATTCCTTGGCTTAAAACAATAAATTGTTCTCGATAATTTCAGTTTTTACCTGTGTTGATGCGATTTTTGTGCATCATTTAAGAAGATTCATAAGTGTCTGTCACATGATCAACAAAGTAATATGACATCACATATTTGCTTTATTATATACCAAAAATGGAAATCAAAACCTAGCTGAAGATTAATTTTATATTCTTAATGCCTATTCAGAGTTCGGACAGTGTTAACATAGCTGTGTGGGAAGAGGATTTCTTGTCTTTTTTTTATGATATTCACATTGTTCCCTCCATTTTCCGAAATTGTTCAAGATACGAGTTGTCAAATAAACTCTAGAGGCCATGAGGCTGACCTATTGTTCATCTTTTCCTTTTTGGAAGATTAGACAAATCATTGTATAATTAATTGAATTATTGAATACGTTTGTAAATTTATTCTTCTTATCTAGGTCCACTTTATTTGATGCGAAATGCATAGCTATAGTCTTGAACTTATACGAATGAAATGTATGAGTCTTTCGTAACTGCGTGTGCTCGAAGTACGACACACCTTTTTTTTTTATCGGCACGGCCAGGTGTGTTATAGACCGAAGACATCCCAAAATATGAATTCAATACTTATATTTACATTATTTAATTTTACCTCTTCATAATTGTTCATTTCGGTAATCTTAAATGTGAATTTACCGCCCTTCAAAACTTGTGTGCTTTATCGACGTGAGAGCCGTTTGCAACCTTTGTGACGTCGTAAAGTTAAATAATGCAAACGAAAATTGCGAGAAAAAAAGTGACAGATTTATTTTAAATGCACATTTCTTGTATTTTTAGGTTAACTCAACAGGGTTATTTTTTTCATTTTTTTAGAATTATCTTTTTCGTCTGATGATAACGTCGTGGAAGTTCCTAATCAAATAAAGGATTTAAAAGTGAGATACCGGTTTCATACTTGATTACAAATGTAACACATAGCACTCGACGACTTCCTAATTCTTAGCTTGTCTTTCCTTGAATTCTGTCCCATTTCACTTATAAAGCCCATTGCAAAGCGCGAGTGAGGAGGACAAAACAAGTATTCCTAAAATATTCGTTTTTGTTTACAAAATATGAGGATCTATATTAAATTAAAATATAAATTTACCTTATACTATTTTGAAGACATAAGTGATTGAGTTTGTTTATGCATGTCTGTATCTATTGTTGACCGGTATCTCACTTTTAAATCCTTTATTTGATTAGGAACATCAACTACGTTATCATCAGACGAAAAACCTTAAAAACCGAGGCCCCGTGTCAGCGGCAGGCTTTGGCGCGATAAAGATCCCTCACTGCTCAATGGCCCTGAGCGCCGAGTAAAGGTCAAAATTTGAAGCCATTCACCGGCATAAGGTGACGTCTCCATATGAGTGAAAAATTCTCGAGAGGGACGTTAAACAATATAAAATCAATCAATCAAAGCCAAGTTTAAGCAAGGTATCCATATAGTTTCAGTTTGGGGGAAACTGGCCTTTTCACCCAGGTTTTATGTCCATTTCGACTGTGTTTCTGTCTTCATGTGGACTCATCAGATATCGGCGTGGATAGACCATGATGATTGCACTGGCTGTCATAGATGCAGATGCTAAGATAAATGGATAGTGGTAATTCTTGATGTTCTCGTACATCCAACCTGAAAGGTTTTTTTTTTTTTTTAATTTTATTTAAAAGACATAACTTACTTATTCTTCTCATTTTCCATATTCTTTCATCTTATTACATTTATACATTGAGTACTGTAAAATCACATATTTTGTGGTTTGAGTAAAACCTCTTGGTTCGTGGGGATTTGAATTTGTGGATAAAGAATTGTTGAATAGTTATGTATGTAACATTTCGTGGAGGGCATTGATTGATGGGTCTCTTCATACCTCTAAAACAACGAAAATTAGACCCCCACGAACAAAATGATTTCACTGTATTGGTCACATTAAATGAGTTTAAAGACAATATTTACTTGATTAAGGGAAAATACTGGAGAAGTACGTATTTTAAAAATAGTTTCATTAAATTTCACCAAAAGAAGAAGAATTTGCCCAAAAGAAAAATAAAAAAAAAAATTTGCTTCATCTATGACGAACATTAATTTCATTGAATTAAAAGTCAGACCAAACAATACCTGCCACAGGAGCTCCAAGAATTTGGCCAATTGACATTTTAGCTATAACTACTGCATATGGAAGGGAAAGTTTATTTTGCCCAAACATTTCCATCAGTATTGCCGGAATTAAGGATCCTCCATTGGCGGCCATGCTTGCCCCAAACAAAATAGAGTAAACCACAAGACCGCCATAGCCAGTGTCCACCAGCAAGAGTAATGTCGACAGACCACCGATCAAATAAAAGATAATGTACTGATTTATGGCCTTGAAGATAGGGTGGACTTTGTGAAAGTCTGCAATGAGTCCCTGAGATATTTTGGCAATGGTAATGGAGATTCCAATGACTGAATACAAAAATGCAGCATCATTTTTGCTTATTTCCAAATGAAACTGCGCGTATGCTGCTAGATGTCCATATATTATTGAAGAACCAAAGGCAAAGAGAAAATTATTCATTGAAACGAAGTGGAAAACTAAACTTTTGAGAAATGTCCAGTCATTTGGTTCAGGCACATGTGATGACGCATGTCGCCCCTTCTTTTTAGTTGGATTTCCGTTTTCATCTGTGTTTGGAAGAGGGCGATAAAGAAGTCCAAAAACACACATATTAAGAGAAAGTCCTCCCATCATCATAAACATTCCCTTCCAGCCATACTCGTTCTCAAGAAATCGAAGTACTGGCGGGAAAATAAAGGCACCGACTCCGCCACCGGCCGATGCCACACCGACGGCAAGGTTTTGTATCTTCCTATGCTGGAAATACTTCGGTACAGCAACACTCCCACTCATATAGGCAAGTCCACAACCTGCGCCTTTAAATAATTCAAAAATGATTTTTTTTTGTTTAAATACGGTATAGCGGTTTATTTTAGCGGGGTGCTAATTTTGGCTTATTTCGGCGTTTTGATGGTACCCCGTTAAAATTTTAATCGCTAAGATACCGTATAAGTGGAAATTTTAGCAAAACGCAAATTTAGCGATTTCTACCTTAGAACTACTATTCTATTTTTTAGCGAGAAGTAATTTTAGCGATTTTAAAATGCTTACTAAAGAAGCTTTTACAAATAACACGCAATTAATTTTTAGCGATATTCAATTTTAGCGATGTCAACACCCTCGCTAATAATGTCAAAATTAAATCCTCGCTAAAAATTCTACTTATACGGTATTAAGAAATCTTTGTAGTGTTCATATGCAGAGAAGTAAATTACGTCAAAATAATTACCTTTGAGCAGGCCCGCCAAAAAACCCGCTATACGGTATCATAAAACTGCATTCTCTTGCTGTACTCAGTAAAAATACCTTTGCCCAAAACTTTGCCATTTGATTTCTTTGAATGTTATGATTTCAGGGAATTTAGGAGCAGCAAATGTAGATTAACCTCATATGGTTGACTGTTGTAAATGAGTTCGTAGATTAGCAGAAAAGGTCATTTTGATATATATCTTTTGATATTGAAGAATGTCTTAATGGAATTTCATCAAAGATTTAAAGTACATGTATTAACAGAAGCATAGTTTGATTCTTCAGTAATTATGCAAATTTATTTCTGTTCCACTGAGATTTATTTCAAAACTGGGTGAAGGTAGCTTTGGCTTTTTTGGTGAATGTTTTATGCTTAAACAGCAAACATTTCTTACATAAATCAAAAAGAAATTGAGGAAAAGTTAGACATATATTTTACACGTAATTGAAATATAAGGAATTTGAAAGTATGTCTATGTTATGTTTTTCATCAAAAGCTTTCAGATTTATTTACTAAATAATAAATGACAATTTTTAAACAAAGTGTCTAACTTGATTTATAAATAATAAAACCTAGCATGTTTTGCATACCTGTGATTACTCCATAAAACAAATAAAGTAGGACGAGATTTGTTGATAGAGAACTCAGAAGGAGGCCTGCACAGGTCAGTAGTCCCCCACAAAAAGTCACCACTCGCCATCCGAATTTATTGACCAAAACGCCCGCTAGAGGTGCTAAAAAGAAAGATTTTACGTGAATTAAGAGTTTCCGAACTGTATTTTTTAATGCTATTGTTCTATTTTAAAGGTTTAAGTATATAAACATATGTATGAGTTTTATGAATCTATTAATAATAATTATTATTTTTAGTAGGTTTGAAGTTACGCTTACTGCATTTTTTCTTAAGGTAACAAATGCTTTTTCCGATGTATTACAACATTATTCATGAACAGTTCGTAATAATTTTTTATTAAAAGGAACTTAAACAAAATATTCTATCATAAGAGACAAAAGCATTTATTTATATTTATACAAAATTTTATAAATATAAATTCGGAGACAAAAGCATTGATACTGTACCCACAACAATTGTTGTCCTTTTCTCAAAGAGATTGCATGTATAATACTAGAAATCAGACTTACTAGAATGAGATGTCATACAACTGACTTCAATACGTCCGATACTTCTGTATCCTTTATTTACCAATATGGACTGGTAAAACGTTGAAAAGAGAAACTTTAGTTTGAAAACAAAGACACTTTTGTTTTTTTATCTACCTACCTCTTTAAAGGTCTCTCACAGAAGTTTCCTGAAAAATTGCAAAAATGACCTCTACTGCAATATTGTCGTCTGCTGAAACTTACTAATAAGGAAGGTCATTGCAGTTACCAATGACGAAATCCATGACGTCTCTGCTGCCCCGGTCTTAAAATTCTCAAGAATGACAACGTAGACTACACCAGAAGTGTAGGAGATTCCATACACTAAGACCCTGATTGCAGCAGCTGCAAGAACCACGACCCATCCATAGTGCAAATTGTCCAAACAGGTTTTCAACTTTCCCTGCTTTAACATCATAGTCTGAAACTGAAGAAGCACATTTATTAATTTACTAGTTATGCATATTTTATTCATATATTTTATTTCTTTTACTTCTTTTACTTCCCGAAGTTCCGCTTTAGTGTTTTGTCTGTTTCCAAGGATGCGTCAGCTGACAAGTGGTGATGATCCAAAGTCCATAGTGTAGAATATATGACCATGGGTTGGTATTCAAACAAATTCTGAGTATATAACTTAATTTATTTACATATCTAGGTATCTTACTTGTATACTCTAGGAGTAAACCTAAGTTTGGAAGAAAATAGATTGCAGTACATATACTTTGTTTAAATATTGAAATTGAGTATGAAAAGTCAGCGAGGGAAGATTGTATTTGTCTGTTCTATTTGAGTGCACAAGTACAGTACTTGAAGACTGCACTCCTAACAATATTTACTGAGTTTTTGATTGTTCATAATAAAGCACTTCATGTTTAGAGCATTTCTTTCATCAGATATTTATCATAACCTGCAACAAGTATTGATCGAAGCTTCTCAATAATGTATGTACATATATATCAAATAGATAATATTTAGAATCCCTTTTGGATACCCATGAATGAGTATTCCGGAGAAAGGTCAATTTCATCAGTATACTTGAAGCTTTTAATTTTTCGGCATCCGTCTTTCGGGATTAAAACATACCGAGGTAAAATATAAATAGAATTGACATACATAACAGAGTCTTTTTAAATCTTAACATACTGGATACAAGATTAATTTTAGACGTTTGACGGCGCCTTTACAGTAAATATTGAGTATATGTACGAGGGGCATTTCAAAAGTTCTTGCAACTGTTTAATAAAAATTAACCGTTTTACAGGAATTATTGAGTTTAATAGCATTGGAAAGATCAGAAAAATATATTAACATTGTGACGTCACTTTATAATTCTTATGACGAAATAACTCTGAAAATGACGTCAAAATATAGAATGTTTAGCATACTGACAATCAAAATGACGTAAAAAGGACACAATTTGATCAAATTAAAATTTTCAAGACAACTTTTGCTCTTTACTCGGACGCAAGCTAACGGACGCAAATGCCAGTTTGTGGAATATTTACATAGACTTTAATCTATCTTCTTGTTCTGAAATGATTTTAGCGAGTGTCAAACTTAACATGGTTTTATCGAATCCCGCTCGAACTTTTGCATAAAAAAGACCTAACTGTGAGAAATAGACAAAGTTGACAATCAAAGGAAAATAGGCGATCGAGTTACAAAATTTAACGGCATAAATTCGTCAGGTGTTTAAACCAGATTTGTGGGATCGATGAAGGCTCAAGAGAAGTTAAGTTTAGTGTGCTCCATATTTACTCGTAAAATCCAAATTGGCCGCAGCGCAGTTGTAACCCCACCGTACCTCCACATATTTGCAAATTTTAATGCATGGAAATAAGACTTTACATGTCTGAGTAACTTATATTTAGTTTTTGGATGTAAAAGTCAAAAGAAGTAGTGAGTTTTAAGGCGCCGTAATTGAATTTCTATGAAAAAAAATGTACAGAATCAAGTCGGGGACAAGATTTAGCGTATATAGTCGCCTATAAGTCGGTATTTTGGGAGTTAACTTTTGATCCAAAACTCTATGTCCGACTTATAGGCGAGTTGTTAAATAATTGTTATTTTCTAGAAGGCGAAAAGTAGTATCTTATAGGCATATACGACGATTGTGGAAGTCTGGATATATATAACTATCATGTATTTATGCTTAGATTATACAAAAAGTACAAGTAATTACACCATTATTCATTTTATTTGTATCTTAAGAAAGTATTACTTTTTTTGTTTAATTTCTGTTTTAAAATCAAATAGCATAGCCATCTCGAAAAATATTACGATGAAAATGAAACCTTGTTAAAACACTCTAGTGGATTTACTTGAACTTGTGAACCGAATGTGTCAAAAAAAAAATGTACCGACTTATGAGCGGGTCAATGACAAATCCCACAAAAATAAGGTCAAAAAATGCAACGGACTTATAGGCGAAGATATACGGTAGTACATTTTATTCGTTAATGGTAAGAGTCCTGTTCCTCAAAATATATTTGAAAACTACATTAATATACTTCAGTTTAAGACAGGACATGTTTTATTTCAGACAATGGACAGCTGTATAAAAGACCGAAAATCCAGCCGTATCATGTAAAAAAAAAATAAATGAATGTCAATGATAGCATAATCGGACATAAACCGTGCTCATAAACAGACCATACAATGAATAATGGAATTGCTGATTAAAAGTATCATAGTCCTATTCTACCTCTTTTCAAATTAAAATTTTCTTTAAAATATTTTGTCAAATAAGCCTTTGGCAGCGCTTTTAGGACTGTGCCATGTGGATAAAAAACGACTTTTCAGTATGTTAAACATTCTATATTCTGATATCCGTGTAAACCTTAATTTAGTAAAGAATCCACTCACTTTTCCATGTCTTTAAAAACTATTCTGAGTATATGCTGGGGTTGGCAGATGATTTAAATATTGTTTTTAAACCACGCTGTCAAGATATATGATCATGGATTAAAATAGTTAAATTTCAAACAGCACTCAGTTTCAAGTCCACTGCTTTTTTACAAAAGGATATGTTACTCTGTTTAAATGAGGTACAAGAAGTGCATGCACCAGTAAAAAAAATCTCACTCGTATAAGGTATACATGACCACTTTTTTGCTAAATTTTATGTTTTAAGAAATATTTATACCTTGGTGTATCTTTTCTGCATATTGCAGACATATGTGACCGAATCGGGTGTTGGGTGGGAAGGGAAAAGAAAAGGCATTTAAAACATATCTGGGTTTTGTTGTTTGAAAAAATAACAGAAAGAAAAGTGTTTGTTATGCCATAACTGATTAATACACATCCAAAAATGCTTATCATATACGCTGTCATGTATATTTCAAACAATAAGAAATACCAGTTATATTTATTAGTTTAACAAACAAACCAAAAATTATGCATAGTTTGTGGGGTTTTTTTTCAAATACATTGTAGTTGTAAAACGTGTACGCACTTATTAAAACTTTGAAATTATAGTCTGTACACTATCTATGATGTTTACATGGCTTCCTTTTGTCCTTGCCCTTAAAAGACCCATATTTTTACCGTACGGTTACCTGAGGAGAGAGAGTGGTCTAAGAAACAGTGGTGTTATTTACCTGGAGACCCCCGATACTCAAGATGACAAAAATCTATGTATATATAGCATTACACAGGAAGTCTGTGTTTGGTAATGAGGGTCAACATTACATGTTTCGTGTCTAACTTTTAGTGAAACTCCTTAAAATAAATAAATTATTTCCATATAAAATTTATTTGTAAAGGAAATGCATTCATCTTAACCTTTATGGGGATAAAATTATACAGAAATATCGTTTAATATTTTTTTTAATTTTTTTTCTTTATTTTTTATTATTTATTTATTTTTTTTTGTAAAAAAAGAAATATCGCGTGTAATAATTAGAAAGCAAGCAATTCTCCATATATTTTTCTTTAATCTTCAGTAAAATAAATCACCCTGATTAAAAAAAAAAGTGTATATATGTTGACATTTAAAACAAAAATTTCATTCATCCGTCGCATGAACATTTACCGCGATCGGAAGATTTTTCCTAATTTTCTGGTCAACAATGTTGTCCATATTATTCGGTATTTCCGAGTGTTTGTGTGTTAACAAACTTTTATTGTTTGAAAGATTTATTTTTAGGGTTAGATCTCTGCTTGTTATCTTCACTTTTTCATTATTAATATGGAAAGACGATAGAGGTAATTCGAGCAATATAATTCTGAAATTTCTTTTTGTTAATTAACAACATTTCGTGTAGATTGAATCCATTATACAAAGACGAAACATATTTTGTAACCAATGCCGCTAGTGCTGAATACTTTTTTACTTATTTATATATACATGTAATTGTTCTATTTATTTTTCATTATTTTAATCTGTGGACTTCCAACTGAGGTAAATAGAGTTTCTCTGGACGGCCTAAATATTTCTAATTATTTGGGATGACATATCACTTACAAGTACCAAACAGTCGTTAGGATTAGAAATAAATAGTTTATGAAATAAGTGTTTTGATTATCTTTTCTAAAATATCTTTAAAAAAAAAATGTTTACTCGTTTTTGTAACCCGCGTGTATCAACAGTGTACAAGGGTGTTGAAAGTGTTTGATGCGTGAACAGGCAATCGTTTTCAAAACATACGAAATCAGGAAGCACAGGTAGCTGGGCTTACAATCAAATCAGAAGCTATTGTTTTTTTAATGATTGACAGGCGGTAAATTATAGATCTTGAATCAGGTAGATTTTGGGGGTGTTAGCATAAAATTGGGTGTTGAAAGCTATAAAACCATGTATCACTGTTTACAAGTGCTTTATTGAGAAATTATGAATAAATAATGAAACTTTATGCACATTCGTTAACCAAGGCTTAACGATCCAAGAAGCGCTGCAAGAAGCGGAGATGTCATACACATAGATTTTTTTAGTTTTAAAATTTATGATTTTTTGTAACAAAGAGTGTTTTTACCATGAAATATATAGAAATAAAGAACAGTGTTCAAGCTCAAAAGTCCTTAAACAATACAAAATATAACCATGTGTTCATAAAGTGTCAGCTCACGACGTTAAGTTGATGTTCACTTTCCAGTGTGTTACATGTAATAGATCAAAACATTTTTTTTTAGTTTAGGATATTTCCTAATTTGAAGCATAGTACTACTTTCCCAAAATCGGAATCATTTGAAAAAAATGCATTTTTTTTCTTTATAAGCGTCAACTGGAGCGAGAAAACAAATTTTATCCTTATAAAGTGCAAATTCTATTTAGAACAGCAACACAATTCAGAAAGGAAAAAATATGTGGCAATAAGTTATTTTTTTAATTGAACAACAGTACAATTTGCAATATTAAAATGTGTACATGTATTTGAACTCCATGTACATGTAGTATGCTTTATGGCATTTATCAAGTGATTTTCAAATAAGGTGACCAAACTAGTTTCAATAAAGAGAGCAATACAATGTTATATCTATAGAT